TTCGCAATTTTGAATCAGCAAGTCTGAACTGAAAGTTTGTGATTTTTTTATTTTTTTATTTATTTATTCAATAGAGGGTAAAGAGGAGTTTAAATGTACGGGCAACGTTTTTATTTCAAGAGGGCCACAATGAATTCGTTAAATCGACAGAAAAGGTCCACAGAATAAGTAGGAAGAGAAATATTCCAGCCAGCTATGAAGAAAGACACTTCAGCGCTCTTCCCTTCCTTTTTGGGTGATGAAATATTTAGTATAGTCAGTATGCTTAGTCATCTCTTTCCTCTTAGCAGTGCAATATTCTCTCCATTTCAAGCATCCTGTTTTGGAACTGTGGCAAAAAATTTTTTATCTCCCTTTAAATTCTTCACAAAAAAAGTCTCGCTGTGGATTTTCAAAGGAATGAAGTGAGAACTTTGACTGGGACGTTCCAACACAAATGTTTCGGTCTAACGAATGCCATTGTAACTCTGGTTCTAGTAGGTTGTCCTCCAGGATTACCCCATATTTAGCTTCATCCATATGTCTTCCTATCAAAACTCTTCTGGTTCTTGTCTGTGCTGAAGGAAAAACACCCCACAGCATGATGCCAACATGTGGTCAAGATGATGTGTAGTTTTCAGCCACGGTTTTGCTAGAAAGTTCAAAGTTTGTTGTATAAGACAAACTTTCATCATGTATGGCTTTTTCTCTAGAAGGCACCCAATAAACTTTAAATGGAACTTCTTGACACTTTTATCACTCCATAAAAGCAGTGACCAGCTTAGTGCCATACTTTGTTTTCATAGATGATCTATGAGGTCTTAACATAAATGCAAAAGTCAGCCTACTGTTGCACGATTATGCACTACTTTGTGTTGGCTTAATAAATAAAACATGGCGTAAATGTGGAAATAAACAAAATATATCATTTGCACTGTTCTGAGATAAGTCATGGCTAAAGGAAGTCCCACAATTAGATAAATGACAAGGAATGTTTTTTTGTTTAAATGATTTTTATGAAAGTCTTAAAATTTCTAGTCACTATAGAAATGCTGGTTTACACTGTTTTCATTTAATATGAGGGCATCAACGTTTCCTTCAGCCAATATTGGTTTTCATTTGTTTGTTTTTTTCTTCACAAAGACAGAAATAAATAACCATACCGTTCAAATCATCCATAAAGAATGAGTCTATAATTATGTCAAGCTACACATTAATTAAATAGAATATTTACATGGCAATGGACTTAAGGAACAATACAAATCTAATAATTAACCTTATACCTGCAGGTGTGTGTGGAAGCTCTCAATTAGCCACCATTGTATAATCTAGCACAGTGTAACAAAGTCAAGATGAACCTGCTGATTAGAAATGAGGTAAAGGAAAAACATAAACCCGAGCCCAAGGGTGGAGCTGCGTGGTCCGAGGAGCTACAATAAAAAGTGCCCGCCTGTGGTGCAGCTTAGCGAGTTTGCACACTGCTCTGGCTGCTTTCTGCAGGATCCACTTCGCATGCCGAGAAGTTTTAACTTTCCTGCAATGTCAGCACATCCACGCCACTCAAAGGCTGCAAAGTGAGGAAAAAGTGCGCCATCTCTCTGACCTTTGCCCACTTACTCGTAAACACACAGGCACACGTAGCTTCAGCTCCCCACTGAAGAAATGAATTAAAGGTCACATTTCCCACCTGATCAAGTCGGGCTCCCGGTTCGGTACCGGCAGACAGCTGGAAGTGGAACCACCACACAGTCCCGTTTGCGGTAGCAGCTCGGCGTTGCTGTGGTAACCCGTTAAAACCACTCCCTGAGACGGGTGCCGACTCATGTTTCTCCCCTTCTTCTTCTTCTTCTTCAGTCTGTCTCACACACGGCTGACATCCGATCTATAATCTATAGATGAGCTCCGCCTCCGCTTCTGAGTGTGTTTAAGGTCCTATCTGTGGAGGCTTTCCATTGCTGGACTTCTCTGTTACCGACTCATGCGGACTCAAAACTCCGCTCCGTCCGGACCCTCGTTTCGTTTCCTCTGGTGTGTCCTCTCCCGGAGCGGAGGAGCAGGACTGGGGCTGGATTACACTCTGACCGCAGATCAGGGATTGGCCGAATCAGCAGGTCAACTTTCCAGAGACAACACCGCCCCCTCCTGGTGCAAGAGAGTACTGACTATTTCCTGCTGGGAGAGGTCCGCATCCAAGAGGCACGTATGCAGTGAACCCCAAAATTATTCGTACCCCTGGCAGATTTAAGCTTCTTTCAGCCAATAAATGATGTTTCACTGGAAATAATGTATTTATCAATTTAATTTTAATTAGAATTATTTTAAATCTGCCAGGGTTATGAATATACCTGGATTTAACTGTGCAAATAGGCGTGCATTACATTTTTTTTCCTCTTCAATTTAAAATTTTTACACTTGTATTGGCATACCCAAGATATATTAGAATAATTCAATGACTAGCCCGCTAAAAGCCTCAATATAACACATCGCAGAACCTGCTGGGACTTTCAAATGCTCACACAGAAACACAAGAGAAGATGCATACATAATTCCCATAATCCATTGTTCATGCAAGGTCATTGAGTGACCTGTCCGTATAGTCTAGTTTGGATCCTCGTCTCAATCTAAGATGGACCCAGTGCCAAGAAGACATTGAACAAGTTTATTGTTGAGTATTGACAATCAGAATAAAAAAGTTTTATTGATCTGAAACTGTTTTAAATAATTTCTCTTTAGTAGAAATCAGTCATACGTCTTAGTCTTTCTTATTTTAAACTACATATTATCAAAAGTAATCTGGATTTCTTAAAAAGAAAGAGTGAAATATCTCTTCACCTTATATGATAAAAAGTTACAGCTTAGCTACAAACTTTAGCATCATAGTTTCTAGTGGTTTGTGGCCAGACTTTCTTACATTGTTTACACCGCAACAACTAAAATGTAACTTATGAAAAAGTTGGCCTGTTTGAATTGTCTACTTCCCCCTAACAAAATGGCACCCTGGGCAGAGAGCCATATCACCCTAAATGAAACACTAGCCCTGTTGGCATTCCAGCTTTGAATACTTTGTGTAAATTCCTAACATCTTCATCAACAACAATTTATTTTATTTATTAAGCAAAAAATTAATTTTTATTTTTGCACAATTGTTTTATCAGTCCAGTTAAATGAAACCGTCGTCTATGAAGTCCAACCTTTATCTACAACTAGAAACAAACTCGGTGGTGTGACTCTGTACAACATGAGCACAAACGTGTGTTTAAAACCATTTTTGCTGACCGCTCTACCACCAACTACAACCAGTCCTTCAATTTCTACAAAATAATAGAAAAACAACATAGAAAGCAGCAAAAGCAAACAGTCACTGTAAAACTCAATTGGGTATGATTATTTTTTGTACTAAGAAACAAGATTTTGTGGATTATGAATTAAATAATTTTAATCCTTGAGAACATTACTGACTACAAAAAAAAAAAAAAAAGTATGAGAAACAACATATGGGTCAGATCCAGTCAGTAAGCCAGACTTGCAATGTTCACACACTGGTTTGTACACAGAAGCCTTGAAACACAAACGAACAGCTTGTCTTAGACCAGCTTACCTAAGATGGAGGCACTCTGCAATCCTGGAGACCATCCTGTCCGTCTGTCTCGGAGTCTGGTCGTCTTTAACACAGCATGGCTTACAGGCCATGCGCTGGCAAATGGTGGTAAAACACTCACAGAAACACTGTGGCAAGCGGATTAACCAGCAAGGTCAATCAGATTTTTTTTTCCCTGCTCCTCCCAGTGTCTGATCCTTTGTCATTCCAACCTCTTTGGTTCCAGTATTCCCAGTTGGCCCAGTAACTCCCATCAGAATATGCCTGCCCCTGTCATTTCTGCTCCTCTGCATTCCTTCTTAAAGACGTTATCAGCCTCGCTGAAAAGGCCACAAACATGCATTGGGAGGCATCAGGCCTACACTGTCTAAAAGATTGATGGCTGCTGACAAAATGAAGGGATTCATCTAAATGAAATGTAAGATCAAAAGTAACAAAACTCCAGATCCCCTCTGTTTGTGTTTAAACTGAACCAAAGTATCACATAGGTTTGCTGTGAGTCGTGGCTCCCGTATATTCCTCATATTTGTTGGTACGCAAAGAAACTTTGTGACCATCTTAAACAAACTAAACAGCTCAGAGCTCCCCCTACTGACGGCAATGAAGACAACGAAAAGCCAAATGAAAAACTGAGGCTTCACAGTTACATGCACACTACGGCCACTGTGATGACGGATTATAGATGCAGACTGAGTCGGTCCAAACAAAGACTCCCAGGTGTGTTTGCGGATTACGACTCTTTTGAATCGAATGCATTATTAAAGCAGGGTTTGTAAAATTCAACTCTTACTTGTACTCAAGGTTTCCATGAATATTCCATTTAAAAATGTCTGGTTCTTCCAGATTTGGATTGATTTAGAAGATTTTTCCGGCATTTGCATTTTCATACACCTGACATAAACGCATTTAGGTTCCATTACTTTCAAGTTCAAAATATTATGAAACATGAGATTTATCAGTGAGGTATTTCACTGATTTTTGGGTGGCAGCTGAACTAACTTTCAACACTTTTCAAAAAGTCTGTACAGGTTGAAAGATAACCTTACAATGCTATTCCAACCTTGGATCAGTCTGATTTCTTTTAGCGAAAAATCTAAAGTAATGCTTTGTATGTCACCCAACCTGGACCCAGTTTCTGAACCAAAAATAGCAAATATGCCCCCCTTTTGTTTTTGTTGTTGTTTTTTTATGAGTACATGCATTTCCAGTTTTTAAAACAGCAACTCAAACACAGGAACGACCCGGTTGAACATGGCATTCTGATACACCAAATCAAACATAAATAATCTGATCTAAATATAATCCAGAATAAATATCCACCCCGTCCCACAAATGTTGATTTTTTTTTTTTTTTAATAACTCAAATTCCATTCTTTACTCAGCAGTCAAAGAACCGAAAAGAAAATCTGAGAAGTCAAGAAAGCCAGAAAAAGTGTAATTGTTTTTAATTTAAATTAACCACAGGAGTGATTCAAGGTCAAGCAAACGTCTGACTTTGGCAAACCAAGAAAACACAAGCATTTATTACAATGAACAGCAACCAAAAAGCAGCAATCCTAATCATAAAGAAATTAGTGAACATAGTACTTTATAACATGAGCAAAACCTACTTTTGCAGCTAGAAGAGAGGAACATGAACAAGAAGCAAGCTGTTGAATCTTCACACCTGGAAAAGGGAATAAAAACATAATTTTAGTCAATTTCCTCACAAACGCTCACAACAGCTGTCTGTCAATAAGGGCTGGTTAACTTGTCCAAATTATTTAGCCTAATGAGGTTTTGATACAGTGGAAACTGTGTGAGCTCGTCCTTCCCAAACTAAATTAGTAGGGGAAAACAAGTACATTAACAGTAATTTCTCATAAAAGTTCATTTTTACACCTGAAATCATAATGTCAAGGCTTATGGTTCTCAGTTTCAAGATTTCTATGACTCGCCTCCAGTTTAGTCAGTAAAGTAGGGCCCAAAAGCATACAACTTCTTCAATAACTTACTAAAAGCAAAAGTGTTCTCAGTAAATATTACTGAATGCCTTCTTTAGGCATTTATTTACCAACAGCAAATGTTCAGCAAACGTGAACATGAAAGTAGATCAGGTGTTCAGTCACATGATTTGCAGTTTCAGTCAGTTAGCAAGAATTTTAACACAAAAACTAATCGCGGTGAAGCCCTTCTTATGCAGCGTCTTGGAAAGGTATTCGAACCCAATCAAAGTTTTCCTTATTTCTCACGATATGCAGAAAGTCAAAAGGCTAATTAACGGGATTCCTCACCACAATCATTGCACTGAGCTCCTCAGATCCCTAAACATCTTGGAGTACATATCTTTTTCTTTATCCAAACCATCTTTATAAGCCCTAGGACAAAAACAAACAAGCAAAAACAAAAAAAATAAATCTAAATACAGAAACCCAATTGGAAATCAAACTCAGCTTTCAAAACTATATACACTTACAACAAAAAAATAAAAAAAAGTTCCTGAAAAACTCTAAGCAACAATGTCAGCTTACACCGCTACTTTCCTCAGGAGGTTGTTGATGTCGCTGTCGAACGGCTTCTTCGACTGAGCCATTATGAGGCAATCCTGAGCGCTCTCAAACTCCTGCAGCTCGTGGTAAGCCTGCGGGGGAAAAAATATAAGCAAAATAACCAACGAATAAATCGCTGCACGCGCTGATCTGCTCTAAAGTTTACTCTCAACAGAAGCAACTGAGGAAGCAGATAAAAATCCAGGCTCTCCACTAAACGGCAGATTTATCTCCCGCTTTGCGGACACTGCAGAGTTTTATCTCCAAAGCTTCAAAACCAAAGCTCCAGCCTGACCTGTCCGCAGCGGAACAGGGCCTTTGTGTTGGCTGAGTCGATCTCCAGGGCCTTTTTGCCATACTTCAGGGCTTTTTTGGGATTTTCCAGTCGGAGCTCGGTGAGCGAAAGGTTCAGGTAGAGCGGAAGCAGAGCCACCTGGATCTTCTCCTTGTCCGGCTCGTTTCGCGAGTCCCGATTCCTCAGGAGAGTCATCGCCTGTTGGCAACCCGGAGCACATATGAACGAGGCGCGGCGCTTCGCTACCAGACGCCGATTGACTTTCACAGTACCTGCTTGTAGCGATCCTTGGCGTGGTCGTATCGGCTTTGATTGAAGAAGCGGTTGCCAAAGCTGCGGAGTGTGTTGATGACTTTGACAAGTGTGGACAGAGGAACGCTGCTCTGCTCCTCCTGGGGACAAAAGCAGACGGATCCGCGATTTGTCGTAAACTCGTTCTTGAAGTAAAAAAGTAACCATCCTTGGGTTTCTGTAACTCAACTGCAGCTCTTTAATGCCCTAAAATGCTATTCTTTTCCAGTCTAACATTTACAAAGTTATCAGTTCTGATAAAATGGAGTGATAGACAACTATTGTGCAATAAGTTAAGGAATAAAGCCTGAAAACAGAATGTTTTTTTTTTATTCCGTTTGCTTCCAAACCTCTCATGTTCGTTAATCAAATTCCACACTTTTCCTGACTGTATGGAAGCCCTGCATTAAAGTGGGAAAACAAAGCCTTTATGCACAGAGTCCTTCAATGAAATCCCACCGAGCTCATTGAAATAAACTCATCCACTTGGCCCGAGTCGAGGTAGTCCAGGACGTGAACCTCATACAGAATTGCAGCTGCAGCCGGGATGAAGGGTGGACAGCCCATTTCTCCGTACGCGTACTGCGGTTGGAGCAGGAACCGAGAGAACTCCCCTTTCTTCATGGTCAACAGTCCCAGCTCCAGTCCGGCTAAAGTCACATCTGCAAATTAGGGTTTGGGTAGAAAAATGTATATTCTAACCAGACAAAGATGGAAGGTTACATTAGAAAAATATTTTTAAATAATCATACCCCTTCCCAGCTTCATCATTGGAGGGTACTTGAGGTGTGCAGTGCTTTCAAAAGGTTGATTAGAATACTCCAAGTAGCCGGAGTAATACACTGGAAGAGGATACAAAATGCTAAACACCAGGTAAAAAATAGAGCATGAATCCCATAAAAAGGTTTTAGATTTCTTTGTTTTGTTTTGTAGCTACTTATTACTGAGGCGTTTTGAGGCACAGGTGGGCCCTCTCCAGGTTGGACCACTTCCTTCAGGATTCCTCCATCGCCCAAGATGTCATACATCCGCCGACCGAGCTGCTCGAAAGGACTCTATAAAATAGAGACGGAAGGATAGATAGCTAGGACTATCAAAATAAAATTAACAGGTGTAAATGTTGGGATTATTAAAAGCTCAGGGTAGGAATTCCTTCTGGTCCAGCACTTCAAAATAAAAGCACCAGTATTTCAAAAAGTAGCTTCCACATCCCTATTAATAAAAAAGAAAACTTTGCAATTGTTACGGGAACCGATTTAGTTTCCTCATGTGAGGAGGTTACAGATTAGCATGAATGTTAAGTCTAGCAATCATCCGCGCTATATTTGCAGCGAGGACAAGTAAACATACAATTAAATGTATCTACAACAGCGTTGTTCATAGACAACGTAGCTTAACGTAGTAATGTTAACATAAGGGGATATAAGTTAATTTTAGTGTATTGGTAATATGTGATCTTTTAGAAAAGCTAATTAGCCCAACATGTTGACTTACCAGCGTGCTCGTCGTTAGCCGCCTCCCGATGCTCGATACTAACCCGTTTCCAGACATTTACCTTCTGAAAAAAAAATATATATATCCTGCAACCGTCTTCAGAGTTATCCAGACAGTATAAAAAATATTACTCAAGATGTAAAGAGGAGTAATATGTTTTCTTCTTTTTTATGGTTTAAGCTAATTGCTTCAGCTGACTCCCAGCACGAGGAGGGCTGGTTCAACAACTTCCTGCTCAGTTTACTGACCAATCATCTTAATGATTCAGGGTTTTTGGAAATATTTTTATATCACCTTGCACTCAGCGTCTCAAGATAACAGCATACTCAAAATACTATTTTCACAAATTGAGATTAAATTACAAATTTGTTTTTCGAAATGATGCTTCCTTCACTTGTTGAAAAGTTCACAACATATCATGACGACCCACGATGTTCATGCAATAAATACAGAAACTGCGCAAAACCGAGACTGGACAGAAGGAATGAAGCAAAATGGACCTATAAATGGAGAAACAGTTGGCTGGACATTATGTGGATGATGAATTTCTTATGATTGGTAAACTTACATATGTCTAATTCTTCTGTTTTATCACCAATTTTATAACTAGCTGTTCTTCCTTAGTGTAGTCATTTTTAATGTGTGTGTCTCTTGAGGTTTTATGCCTGTAAAGTATTTTTGTTTTACACTTGGCTGTAAGAAAGATGCAGTGTAAGTACTTTGAATTCAACAATTAATTTCATCTTAATGATTTGAGCTGTCTTTGTACAGCACTAAGCTAAAGGTTTAGAATTTGGACATACATTTATTTTTGTCTGTCTCTACCCACCTCTGGTGCTCATACCACTCATGGTAATCCTAAAACAAGTTCTAGAAAACGTATGCAGCCATTGAATCATTGCATGAATCATTTCTCTTGCCCACTTTTCAAAATGAGAAAGACAAGAGAACACACTACTAGAACATGGTAAACTTTTAATAATGCTGCCGAACGCAGTCATTTTTAAGCACAAAGAAATTGAACTATAAAACATAGTGGCTCGTTGCCACATAACAGATTTTATTTCCCATATCTTTCTTTATGTACACCTGATATTTTATTACAAAACGTAAATCTGTTATGAGTTATATTCCTAAGTACAGTGATGTCAGAAATATACATTAGCAAATAATTATCAATATATTTATATGACCATACAAATGTTTCAGCTATAAAATATCACCTGGTTCTCTCAAAGTTGGCTCATTGAAAGATGCTTGAAAATAAACAATACAAAACAATACCTTTAATGAGTAAAAAAGTGCCTTTCAATAGGCAAAGTGAAGCCATTTAAACAATTCGGAGCAGCCTACTGCCTAATCCATGTTATGAAAAGCAAACAATACACATGTATGTTTTCTTTTATGTTCTTATCTGAAAGGCTTTACTTTGTTACACCGTTACAAACATGGATTAAACGGTGAAACGGAACGAGGACTGACTGGCACACTTCTGACCTGGGATTACCCATTAAGCCAGTTAAAAGCTTTCCTTGTTTTTATTAGAAGTTCTGCAGTTCAGCAGGATAGACAAAGTTGTTCCTGAAGAGTTTGTAGGCCAGGAGCTGTCCTCCGAATATCATCATGACCAGGCCCGAACCTGCAGAGAGATGGAGGTAGATAGACGGCAGAAGGTGAACAATAAAGAGGAAGCTTTAAAGGTCAGCAGCAGAAGATGAATTTGGAGGTGTGTTGGATGAGTCAGGGGAAAATGTCATATCTTCTTCAGACAGAGAGACAGAGATAGAGATTTGTGTGTGTGTGTGTGTGTGTGAGCGTGCGTGCGTGCGTGCGTGCGTGCGTGTGTGCGTGCGTGCGTGCGTGTGTGTGTGTGCTGTCCAAAAGGGATTGAAAAACTGATAAGAAGGCAGAAGCTGACATGAATAGGAAAATAAAATCCTTACCCAGAGCGATCCACCAATGCTCGGCAGAAGGGAAATCTGACATCACTGCAAAAAACGCATCAAGGTAATGGGTTGAATATGACAACCAAATATCAAAACTATTATATCATAACTGTAGTGTTCTAGTGCAATTTCTTGATTCTTTTTTTTTAACTCTTTGTGTGTGTATCTCTGCTAATGACAGCTAATTATATAATCAGGCCTGCAATCCTATCAGTTGTCCTGGCCTACTCATCTCATCCACTTGCATGCGCACGTGTGTTTACCTGCTACAGTCATCCCAACGTGCAGCAGCGTGACAGTTATTGCGTAATCCCAGACCCACTCCTCCACAATCCACGCGAACACCAGCCCTCCTAAAACATAAGTCACTTCTGTGGAAATGACCCCAACTGGAAGGAAGAAATATTTTCCTTAATTACACAGAAATTTCCTTCGACATTTTCTTGTCATGTTATTACAGAATATAAAGGGATCCCTGTATCCTTAACTGACCACAAAAGGTCTTCAATGTATTGTTTTTTAATTCAGTTTCTGCCAAATATGCAAATGTTTTCTTCTTCTTGGATTGCTGAAGTGTGTGGATGTATTTTAGCAGCACTTATAGAAATTGCTCTTACCGGCTATCCATGCAAAACTATAGCATCAATCTTTAGCAACCTCAACACTGGAAGAGATTTATCAGTAATTTTTCATGTCAAATATCAGTGGTGCTTTCTTTGATGTTCTGCACTCAAAACCATTTATGTTTAAATGTTTCTTAGTTAAAAACATACATTCACCAGACCCCTCTTAGCCTTTAAAACTGCTCTAATATTTTGCAGCATTAATGTAACAAATTGTCAGAAACATCTGTAAGAGGCTTTGGTCCATACTGAAATAAAAGCATCACACAATTCCTGCAGATATGTTGGCTGCATGTCTATGTCAGTTGCAAATGCTTGAAATCCCAGTAGATCAACAATGTCTAGCTTAATCAGCCATGCTACATTGAAATTTACTTAAACCCCCTTTCTTTTCCATTACTTCAGCCTGTCGTCTTTATGACATTTAAAAGCACTGAGTTGTTGCCAAGTCATTGGCAGTGTTGCTATTTGTGTTCTAACATGTGTTTCTAATACATTTGCAGCTAAAATGTTTTGTCAAGCATGAGTGACAGGAGAATTGGAAGCAACACACTTCTCCAAACACTCATGTGTTATCCATTGTTGAATCCACTACTGCAACTCACCCAAGTATTTGGGGTTCTGCCATGATGGTTGTGTCGTGTAGTCAAATGGCGTTAACAAGCTGTTGATCTCATGAACCCTAAAGAAATGACAAGAGGACATCATAAAACGTGTCCAATTTGGCTAGAAGAACTTTATCTGATTTCTTTCAACCTGGCCTTTTTTACAGTGGCATCGCCATTTGTATGCGAGTGTGCGTACCTGAAAAGTCCAATGCAAAGGCTGACCACAATGTAGTAGAGAGAGTAGAAGCACACCATGCACATTAGCAGATTCTGCAGAACAACCTGGGAAGAGAGAAGGCAGCGAGAGCTTTTTACTCAGCGATATTGAGTAAAAACGTAAGAAATACAACGTTTCCCCCTGAAAACTTGCTAAGCCCGGTGGCTGGGTGCTAGGGCAGGCTTTCATCCAGTGCCCCGTCGTGTTTTTCAGTTAAAAAATGTTTAAAGTTGACAGGAAATATGAAAATATCACTTGATAAGTATGTGTTATGGAAAGATTGGAAGATTAATACCTGAACACCAACTATAAAGTCTAAAGAAAAATGCAAACATTTTAAAAATACCTAAGTAAATAAGCAATGCTTAGCCTGGTGGGGGCACAAGTCAAGCCTGGTGGCCCGCCAGGCTTATAACACACTGGGAGAAACCCTGGAAACATCTTCCTGAAAAAATTCTTCATTGGGTTTAGCGGTACAGTAAAGCTGAATTTAACTCTATACACCATCGTCTTCTGTACTAAGCGTAAATAACAAGCAAATAAAGAAAGCCAAACATCAAATCTGCTTTACACAAACAATGATTTGACATATTTAATCCATATACACCCAATGTTTTATGCCCCAAGCTAACAGAAAATGTATGCACCTCCATTCCTCCTATCTTAAGTGACCTAGAAAACATACCCTCCTGACAGGAGACAGTCAATGTCCAGCTAAATCCTGCTTTCACAGATGACTGCCTTCAGCCCTTACAGGAAATGAGCTACATGACTCCCCAGGAGCAGAGATAAAAGCCCTTTTCTCGTGGCTGACATTTCAGGTGGCTAAACCCAGGTGTAACTAATTATTTTATTAATGAGCTCCATTCCAGTCGGGTGGGTCGGTGCCAGGCCTCTCTGGCTTACCGGCGCACCTCGATGGAATGGGGGTCATCTGTAATCTTATTAGTTACACTTGCGATTTCCTGCTGGGACAAGTCAAATGTCTACTGTGATGCAGGGTGAACAGAGTAGACCAACTCTTACAGTCAGACAGATAAACAGTTTTCTAGGTCAAATATTGCCATTTATCACTTATTAATTATATTGTAGGTCTGATATTTTTACTTTTGCATTTAAAAATAGGTTTATTTTATTAAGAATAGCATTTCTATGAAAACATAAAACTATGTACAGAGTAAGACAATTAAATATAAACAAAGAAACTGCACAACATAATTGTGGTGTTTATCGCTGATCGGTGACAATTAGCATATTTGAGCTAATAGCGATTGAGCACCTTGGATTAAAATAAATTGTGTTCAGGGGAAATTAGGGAGGAATGTGTGGGGGACCTACAGCAGGTAAATAATAATGTCACTATATAACCTGCTTAAAACATGCATTTTTGAAAGCATGAACAAAGCCCGTCAAACTCTGGAGCTGTGTTTGTCAAGCTAGCTAGTCAAATTTAGCCGTCAAAATTGAATGAAAGCTTTTTCAGCCCATATCTGCTGGCCCAGTTTTAGCCTTAACAAAGACATTCAAAGTTAGTTTGCCTCATTTAGTCTTTATTTTTCACTGTACATTCACATTTAGTTGTAGCTTAGAAAAATGCTAAACTGGTGTAGGTGCTAACAGGTAGCTGAAAGCAGGCAGCGTTTCCAGAAAAACCTTAAACCTCATAACCTAAAAATAAGTTCACATTTTCAATACTAATTACTTGTTTAATTCCTCTGCATGATGCTAATATAGCAGAATGGCGATTTCAGTTTGAACATCTTTGCTGCCATGTCCATTTAAGACTATAGTAAGCACACCAATGTTCAAAGGCTTAAGAGTTTAAAGAAATAAACTGCATAAGGCAAAAGTGGATGCTCTCCCAAATTGCCTCTGGTTTTAACAGCTTCAAATGTGTGGGTGTTTGTAAAACCACAAAAGCAGTTGAGCTCATGCTAATGCCTTCAGACAGCTAAACACCTATGGCTAACTCTTCGTCTTGTTTGTCTGCCATCTCAATAAGACTTTGCAGCTTTTATTAAAAAAAAAACTGACCTAGAAGCCAAAATTTCACCTCAAATTTTTTCTTCCAAGCTGTATTGACAGAATCCTTCATAAAGGCTATCCATTATTGGATGTTTGAAAAACATTGTATCATACACTTGTTTGCTGTTTGCTACATCCTACAAGTATACTGAGGATTAACTTTTGTAATTAACAAAATGGAATTACCTAATACATGCAAGGGTAAAATGCATTAAAAGTTAATATAAACATAACTAAAACAATAATCGTTGGCTGAAACCAATGTTTACCATCAATAGTATCGATACAAATGTCCACAGAGTCCTCTCAAACCAACATTGAAACTATAACATTGTATTTATGAATATTATGCAGCTGTTTATTATTAGCTTTGTGATCAGACTCTACATTGTAACTTTTTCTTTAATCCTCCATTTCTTAAAATGGTTCTCTGTTCTATGGTTTTCTGTCCTTACCCAGGTGTCGCTGGGTGTAGTCTTGAGGGAGAAGGGTCCATGGCGTTTTATGAGCGTGACTCCACAGCAACGACAGCAGTAGTCCAACAACATGAATGTTTGCCGGTCTAAATGAGGAAACGTAGCCTCCATGTGTGTTTATGAGTCCCTGGGAGCATCTTGTAGGGAAGCAAGGAAGGCAGGATTGGATGAAATGAGATTACTGCTAAGAGGTTGGAGTAAATCCCACATGGGATAAGACGCATAAATGCATGTGTGGACAAATACTCATAACTCACAATTAGGTAGTTTGTTTCACATGTGCAATGACACACAAACTTCAGTTTGATCCTCAACAGGAGTCAGACATTTCCAATAATTTAAAGAGAATAAAATAAGATAACTTATGCCATGCATGACAGTCAAACATTTGCCTTGAATGTAATTTACAAGTGGAATTCGGTACAATTTGACTTTATTTCGATGTCTGATAATGTTTGCAAGCCAAAGTCTTGAAAACTCCTGATCTGAACATTGTAATCAACCATAAATAAAATTATTCCAGGTAGTTTGCAATATGACCACTAGATGGCAGGACAGCCTGCAAACCTTGAGAAAACTTGATCCATCAAAGTGGAATCGACACAAGAACGATTAATTTCAAGACTCACATGAGCACAGTTTTGACGACTATAGATGTAATTTGGATTATAAAAAAAGCTATGCAGATTTTAATCCTATTATTTACCCAGATTAAAACTGAAAAGTGCGAAGTGACGAAAAGCGATTTCTCAACACAGAAACCAGTAGTGACCAACATAAATATGAACATCGCCCGTTTTCTTTTGCGCTCTCCGGAAATAGCCAAAAGAAAACTTAACCGTTTGACGTCATAACATGCGTACGTAAAGCAAATGCACGTGCTCCTTTTGTGTGGGTTTGGGGTTGACTCTGCTGCCACGGTAACCTGCATCATTGTATCCATGGTGACGGCAGAGCAGAGGGAAAGGAAGAGGGGGTTCCATGAGGAGTAAGGTAGGCGTCATAGCCGAGCATCCCTCTGTGTGTACACACTGTGTGAACCGGTGCCATATTTTATTGCTCTGAGGCTGACGAGGAGCGACTCATGCTAATCTGTGTTGTATTCCTCCGCATCATGCTGAATATTGTCAAAATGCCAGACAGCATTGATGTGGTTTTATCTTGAGATGCATGTGTTTTAAGTATTTTCCATAATAATAATAACAAGAAGCAGTGAAAAAGCAGCAGGATACTAGCATACTAGGATCAAGATTAAAAAAAAAAAAATATCTGGATTTGTTGGACAAAATAAAAAACAATCACTTAGAAATTTTGCCGTTCCCCATCTTTTATGCAAATTTATGCCAGCAAATCCAGTAACTGAATAATTAGACTGCACATATCTGTTGCCATAAATCTTACCTGGTTCTTTCTTTGCAGGAAAAAAAAAATATCTCTGAACTTCTTAAGACTAACACACTAGTTTTTAAGAGAGACAGACTCAAAAAAGAGCTGATAGAGCGCTCTAAAGATGAAAAAACAAAAACATAAAACCACTAAATCTTAGTAATTAACACATTCTCTTACAGTCACAAATCAGCTGCAGCATTAAAAGCTACAACAGGTAAAGTGGATGTGAAGCAGCTAGAAGTAAATAAGCTGAAAAGGATAACCTTGCAGTTTCAGAAGCAAGAAAATTGTAAAAGTGTGATCTCTATTTAGCTCTTTTCCAAGCTGGAAAAATTTGAGGAGGTATTTGTCTGATTCATCACTTAAAAATCCTAAAAATAAATCACACGGTAAATCTGGAGGCCTATAGTTTTTTTTTTTTTTTTTTTTTAAAGGGGACTGATAGAGACAGGTAAACTGGAGCCTCTATTTACAGAAGAATGGAGGTTAAGCAATAAGTTTTCATCTGCAGAGACAGTAACGTCTTTCCCCCGGACAGGATTTATTTTAAGGTTTGTAACAAAAAAAGAAAAAAAGAAAAAAAGTAAAGCATCGGGAGAGGAAGAGATACTCTGGGGAACATTAAGGCTCATTGACCTAAATGTCAATGAGGGATGTCTAAGGGGTAGAGGTGCTTTAATTAAACTATTGGGTGCACACTAACAGAGAGAAATGCATTAGTCAATATGGCCCTTGTTCATCTCACTTCGGTTTTCCATTCTCTCATTTCAATAATCTAAAATCCAAAAATGACTATTCAGAGCAACACTTAGTCCTAATTATTTCCCCCTGTGTTTCTCTGGTGTCTTTTCTTCACTTATCACTCCTCGATTAAGTAACTCTTTTTCCTTTTAATTGTTCCGCTGAACACTCCCATCCACAGCTGCACACAATAAGTGCAACACCATTTTTTTTTTTTTTTTTAATTCTCACAACTGTGCAGGCTTGTAAACAACAAATATAACAGCTAACAATGCAATGCTTTGTTTCTTTTTTTTTCTCTCTCCTCCCCCCACCCCTTACTCCTCACTTTGCCGTTTTCCCACACTCTGTCTATATCTTCCTCATGTTCTGCTCCTTTCTGTCGCCTCTGTATGTTTTCATTTTCTTCTTCCCTGCATGGAATGTAAATACATCAGCCATGAACTGACCACAGGCTTCAGCAAGGGATCTCAGCTTTCTGCTGATCCTGTCCCAAGTCCTCGCGTGTTGGGATGACGACTTTGTTTTTTAGCATTTGACAGAATGTCAAATGTGAGATGGGAGACGTTTTAGAGAGTGTTAAGGTGTGAATGTCACTGTCACATTTAAGGTCAAGGAAGACGATTTACAGACCGACTGAAACGCCTCAGTCGTGTCCAAGCGTAACCTCTCCGTTTGCTCAGCTGCCTTTCTTTCTTTCTTTCTTTCTTTCTTTTTCTCTCACAAATCAAATCCAAGCCACTTAAAACAAATAATAGGGTGTTTTCTGGCTCTCTCTTTAATGCACAGCCTGTTGTTCAAATAATGCATCTTTGCTAACATTCCCTCACCTCAACTACAAGCTGCTGTGTTTTCACTGAATCACTTCCTGCATGTAAACACAGGAAATGACACGAATGCCAACATCTGCACCGCTTTTTTGCTGCCCTTATGTGTATGCCTGTGTGTGCGTGTGCGTGTGTGTGTGTGTGTGTGTGTGTGTGTGTGTGTGTGTGTGCTTGTGGGGGTGTGTGTGTGAGTGAGTTCATGAGTTTGTGAGAGGGGGAGAAAGGAGGGAGGAAAGTTGAACAAAGCAGTGCTGGAAATAACGGATAGATAAGACACAGACTGTGCATTGCAGCCAAGTGGACAAATTACTAGTACAGTACAATTTTAGCTTCACAATTACTTTTTTTTTTTTTTTTGTATTTTATACGTTTTGTGTTTGTTGCATTTATTTCTCTCCAAGGATATGGATGTTAACAAAGACGTCACAAAGCGTTCTCTCCGCCTCGTTGGTGTTATCTGCTCCCTGCAAGGATTTGCTCCCTGACTTGTTATTCCTCTTAAATATAAATGAAACACGCATGCATGCTCTTCCTCCTGGGCGTACATGCAGATAATACAGCCCCCTCTACATCTCTCTCTCTCTCTCTCTCTCCACAGTCGCGCATTCCCACGAGCGTAAACGCTTTCAGAAGACCTGGATGGAGCTGCTGCTCGATTCGAATCATTGGATTAAAAAACAAAACAAAAACAAAAAAACACCATTACCTCGCTTGAACCCGGACTTCTTAAAACGGAAATTCTCCATCTGACCCATTTTATAGTACTTTGCTTTTTGTTTGGACGCGCGGTCAAGTTTTGGACCCGAACGCTCCACAAAACGACTTTCACGCATCAGGCAACCACAGAGGGCGTCACATTGACCGCTTTTCTGTAGTTTCTTCATCTTCTTCTTCTTTTGCATTGTAATACCTCTGTTGCAATGCAAGCTTTCACGCGTCTAAATAATCCGAACGAGGAGGAGGAAAATGATTTCTCTTAATTAGCGTGTTTCTCATCATCCTCTGCGCGCGTACTGTGCTCTCCACCAGGCGTAAAGGGGGAGAAAAAAGTGTTCCGCGCACAAATCGACGCTTCTTATCGCTCAAGTCCTAATTTGAGGCAAGGAAACTGCCGACATGATGCCTCTCGGTCTGCCTTAAAGGAGCTGGGATGCTGGTGAGGGCTGCTGCTGTTTCCAAGTGGCTGCATGGGAGCGAGCTGTCATCTTAGTTCTCCCCGGCGTGGCATCATCTCGCTGGAAGTAGTAGGCTTCAGTGTGGAAGATGGCTTTTGACTTTCCCCCAGGATACAAAGCGTAATTTACACCGTGACAGTGGAGACTCGTCTTTCAGTAAGGTAGGAACCAACCGATCCAACTTCTGATCCAATAATTAAAGCTGACAGGCATGCATGTTATATATATTTTAACGATACGCAATGAGAAACGTGACCTTTGAAGTTTTATTTTTTCCACATTTTGTCGCATTATCTCCACAAACTTTATTCAAATTTTATATGATGATCAACTCAATTAGTGTATAATTGTGAGGTGGAAAGTAAAACTTAAAAATATAAAACGTTCAGTCCCTCTTTACTCTGGTACTCTTAAATAAAATCCAGCCAACCAAATGAGTAAACAGAGTAATTCAATCCCATTAATTCGTGGGTTCTGTGAATGCCTCAAAGGTTTATTCGAGAACAAAGCAGCTATCTGAAGAAAAAGAAAAAAACAACCACCAGAATCCACAATTTACAAATCTGACCCTCCTGGAAGAGTATCAAGAAAGAAAAAAAAGAAAGAATGCCATAAAAAGTCCCCTTTTGGATGTGCTACAAGCCACATAGAGGGAAAAGCAAACACACTGAAGGAGGTGCTCTGGCCAGATGAGACCAAAATTAAATCTTTGGTCTACATACAAACATTCAGACGTCCTCTGATCTGAACCGTTCCATTGTAGCTCTGAATTTAGTTCGGTTTTATGTGTTTGCAACATACGACGCACGAGTCAACACATTCAGACATTCACAGATGACAATGTGTTCGAAACTGTAGTAGATAAAAGTACCTTTCATTGCAGTTGCATAATCGCTCAATTAAAGTCCTAGAAAATCTAACCTTTAGTCATGAGATTTTAATTATTCAGTTGGGAAGGAAATCGTCTGTGAAGGCAGAATTGCTTTATATGTGATCAAATTATTATTATTACTGGCGCCCCTCTTGCGTATCCCCCTTTTTCAAGTGGGGCGTCATTGATTCTTCTGCTTTAACACTTCCTAAATTTGATGCAGAGAGCTTTTTTTTTTAATCTAAAATCCTGTAACATTTTAAAGAGTTCATGATGTCACATACTCTAAATATATTGTCTTTGTAAAACAAACACAATCCTTCATCGTACTTAGCAGCAGGCTAAGTGTGATGGTCATTTTGATTCTTCTTTTCACTCCATACCAACCTAAACTGTTTGCCTCTCCAAAGATCAATCTCAGTTTCATCTGACAAAAGCAAACAGTTCCAGTCTAAATCCCAGCAGGGTTGAGCAAACTCCAAATGTTTATGTTTGTACAGAAACTGCCTATTTTGTTTCTGGGATGCAGCTGAAAACAGCTGGTTGGCATGTAGATGGTTGCTAAGGTGGCTTTGTGACCCCGAGATCTTTTCTGCAGCTCTCAAGCGAGTTAGAGTTGGATATTTTCACCTGTCTTTTGCTCCCAGTGTGCTGTTAAAAGATAAAAAAGACAACATTCATCCTCTTCTTCTCTCCTCGTATACGTGGCCAGCACTCTAACTCCACTTTAAAATAAAATAAAAATGTGTGAAATTATCCTTTTTTCCCCCCCCATTTAAGGTTATTTGTTTGGTTTCTACTTGTTAAGAGAGTGTCAGCACTGACCTTTGCCTGACATAAACCACCGGGACATTTCCCTTTTGGACTGACTCATAAGTTTAGGCATGCAATGTTTTCACAGCCAGTTCCTAATATTCAGCCAGTTTTTAGCGTTTGTAAACACATCTAATTTAAGAAAACCTATTCCAGACTGGCAGGCTGCTTTTGTTGTAGCTACAACAGTGTTTGGATTTAACATCCTACAAGTAAAACAATATTAAAACTGCCATGTGTAGAAACAGAAATTAACTCATTAATATTTTAGGTGACCTTTAAATATGTGATGTGTGTCAGGATTCAGATTTTTTTTTTTTTTACTTTTGGAATAAGTAAGTTTTTAGGGGAATTATTTAAAGTTGGGCAATCTTACAAAGTTAGATCAAGAAGGATTAGGACAGGCTGCTGAGATCCCAATGCAAAGATATTATCATGGTTAGGGTACATTCTGTTCATTGCTGCTCTATGATGGTGCACAGACTCACCAGTTCCATATTTCTAATTTTATTTTGACTCCACAGGGTAACGTTTATGCAGCCAGAGCGGATTTTTATTGACTGCTGTTCGCGTTTTCAATCTATCAGTTTTGGAGTTTGGACAAACAGTCGAAACACTTCAGTGCTCTTCAGGTCTAAAGTATTAAATATTGGTTGTACTTGATCGAATAAAGTGTTTTTTGGCCTAAATGTATATTTTTTTCCAAGCTTATCTATTTTCAGTGTGAAGTTGTGATATCCTCATCCAGATTTTTGTTTTGTTTTGTTTCGTTTTCTACCAAGAAGCTGACATGCTTTGCCAACTTTTATGAGTTTTGGCCAAATCTTAAGTGGGGCAGAGCAAATAAAATTGCACAAAACTTCATTGGTTAGTTGTTAAAATTCATTTCAGGTTTAAGAAGACAGTAATGGTTATTAACTGGATGTTTTTAATGTTCTTAAATAATGATGAATATATGGTGAATTATTTGTTGTAACCTTGAGCTGGAGAAATGAGAACAGCGTGTACAGGCGTTCGGTGCAGGCTCTCCGAATAATCTGGAAAGTCTCGAGGTTGATTTTACTTAAAGCGAACTGAATGCTGGAACAGAGGTACACGCTGATTTGATGCTATGCCTCTGTGATTGCTCTCTGGACTGAATAGCAGTTCAGCCGTCTAAAGATCGAACTGAGATCTGGCAACTAAACTAGTCTGGAAACACAACCAGGCTCAATCAGGTTAGAATGTGTTAGCAGTGGTTTTAAAAACATTTTTGGGTTACCTCATTGTCTAACGAGGACATTACCTTCCTCATGTTGTTGTTTTGAATATATTTATAACAAACTTAGAACATACAACCATAAATTCGCATTCAGCATTAGAGGGTTGGACAAACAAGGCAATGTGTTCAGCACATGCTATTCCCAGGTTTGACCACTAGGTGTTCTTCCTTGCTGAACGCTGACGGCTTTGGTTTCCCAAATCTGGGTGAGATCAGGCAGCTTTATCTTGCTATTTCTGAAAATGTTAGCAAGTTCAGTGGTGCATCTTACTTTGTCAACGACAAAGAAAGAGTTTATATATCTTGGACGTCTGTTGGTGAAGAAAGGAGCTCAGCCAAAAGGCGAAGCTGTTGATTTACTGGTTCCTCTGTGTTCCTGCCCTCACCTGTCGTAATGGCATATGAACCATGACACAGAATAATATCCTGCAGCTGAAATGACCTTCAGTCACACAGACGGGGAGAAAACCTCTGAGTTGAACCTCGGCTCCTCCATGTTGTAAGTTTTCGGTGGGTCCAACATTCCTGACCAAAAGACTGAAATAAAAAAAGTTGAAATGAGTTTCCTCACCTATAAAGTAAAGAATTTGTTTTGTAAAAAAAAAAAAAAAAAGATGCTGTTTTGTTTCTTGAATCACATCAATGTGGTTTTATGTTGAAATAATTTGGAACAACTAAACCAACTCTGTTGCTTTTTCATAACACTGACATGGTCAAAATTAATGGAAAACATTTGGAAGTGTAGTACATGTCTCTTTATTGACAGCAAGGACAGCAACTTTTGCACAAGTTGTGCCTGATTTAAATTTAGTCTCTGCAAGATTCAAAGTGTAAAGATCAAGATGCGCAAGATGCACCTGGAACAAGTCTCTGTTTTTATATAAAATGCTTTTATAAATTGCCAAATTTAACTTTTGCAATTTTGAAATAATGAATTAATTTGCTTTTCATTCATGTCAGTAGTGCAGTTTTAAATGTTAAGAGACACTCTTTATGCTAGATACCGGTGTATATGACAGTCAATCTACAACTTTTCACACTGCGTGTGGTTGAATATAGTCGCAAGCACTCTCTATCAAAGGTGCTATTAACAGTTTGGATGAGAAAGGCACTCTACATTAGGGAAAGAAGAAAAATAGGGCATCTTCTCATTCAATTAATGGACAATCAAGAAGAAATAAAAAGTCATCAGGATATTATTTCCTTCAGATAAAATTTGTAGGAGGCAACGAAAATAAATCTTGAAAGGAATCAGATGTTGGACAGAATTGGATGTTCCAACAACACGACTTTGCAAAACTGAATCAAACGTCAATTTGATGTTATTGTAAAAACAAATGCCTCTTTTCTAACATTTACAACACTCAATAATTAGATCATCTGTCATTAATAAACAAAACTTTTCGCCATCCTAAGCCCTGCAAACAGGACCAGGATTAAAGCTTCATTAAAAGTGAAATAACACAACATGGCTGGGATAGTTTAAGTGCATGCTACCATGCTTAAGACATCAGTTATTAACCCAGGCTGCATGGCTTTCTAATGATGCCTAAAGATTTGTGACAAGGTTTGTGACAAGGTTATGCACCAAAAGTGGCAATGCATCACCAACACCTGGCACAAAGCCATCCTCATACTGGAGGGACATGTCATTAGAGCAGCACAGAGTCTAATTTAATCTGAATAACCATCTTCATTTTGGACCCAGCACAGCATCCAGGAAATATGATGGGTAACCACAGGAATACTAACTGTAAAGCGTCACCAACTATGAATGCATTTTCACTTTTGCACAAGATGTGCCTGATTTAAATTGGACACTGGTTTGACGTGTACATGTTGTGAAAAAGTCAGTAGGACCTACAACAGCCTGTGTTTTTCTAACATATTTGGACATTTGCGTGTTTAAGTTTCTTCTGTATAATTTAACACATTTATTCCCACTTCAAATGGCTCAATACCCACACACACGCACGCACACACACGCACGTAAACACATACACACAATGACAACACTGGTCCAGATCGGACCCTACTCTTCATCCACTGACCCTGCAAGGATTGTGTCAATTTTGAAAATTACATAATGAATAAAAAAATTGCAGTGACTAAAATAACTAAAAGTTGACAAGTGATCTACGAAGTTTAACAGTTTTCCTTTACCACTGGAGCATCACTGGTTTAGATTTGAGTTGGTACGGTAATTTTAAGGAAAG